GTGCTTACAGAGGGGCTTTGCCTAGAAGCAAGATAAAGGCAGCCGTGCCAACAGCAGTAACCTCCAGAGAGAATATAACATTTTCAATTGGAAATGCACACAAAAATACTGAAACGAGAGACAGATTTGGGATATTTCTCCCCCACACTCCCTTTTGAGGTTTTCACAACCCCAAACAAGTGAAGCAGAGAATAAAAGAAACACGTCCAATTTGATCAGATTCCCACTGCATGCAGGATCCAGAAATAAAGTATATTAATTGCTAAGAATTGAGTGCAAAGTTCACAACAGGTCAAATTAGAAGAGTCAACTGGAAATCAATGTACATGGCTTAAAATGAAGGTAATTTTTAGCGCTTTTTACTTTTGGATAAACTGTTTCTGTATACGTTGGGGGAATAGGCCGGCTATAGCAAAGCTACAAACCGGAATAATTTATTGAGGAGTGTTGGCTTTTCACACACACTGGAAAGCTACAGTATTTGACCCCTTAACAGAGTCCTGCTCTTATACATTATGCTCCCACTACCAGGTATTCTGGCACACCACCTCACCAAGAGCACAGCATCCTTGAAACTAAGCTAAGAGCTCAAACTCAGTGGAAACTGCATTTCCTATCCAGGTAAGGAACTATGTTAATCAAGACGTCATGAAAAAAGTCGTGAGAGACTGAAGTGAGAGTGATTTTTATTTAAATATTAAAATTTGATGGGGGAAATTGGTAATTTCTCCCGCTGCTACTATTAGTTTTCATAAGGTTATATTGGGAAGTGAAATGGAAATTACACAGCATGCAAATACCACACTTAACGCTCTACTAATGAAGCACGCTGTTGCTCTTACTCCAAAGCCTGTGTTCCCTAAGCTGTTTGATCTTGAGAGATGTGTCTCTTCATGTGTCCAAATGACCACACCTCCAAGACAAACAATGGGAAAGCAGCATGGAAGGGAAACTTGCCAAGTGTATTTCAACCGGCGTATAATTTCTGTGCTAGCCAGGCACGAGAGGTTAAGACCAAAACATCTAGAGCCGATTATTTTACAAGTATCAGGGGGTAGCCGTGTTAGTCTGTATCTACAAAAACAACAAGGAGTCTGGTGGCACCTTAAAGACTAACAGATTTATTTGGGCATAAGCTTTCGTGAGTAAAAACCTCACTTCTTCGGATGCATCCGAAGAAGTGAGGTTTTTACTCACAAAAG